AAATAAAATAGCAAATTATATTTCCATATAGAAAATTCCTCTTTTTTGGCCATATGCTGATGATAATTGTTTACAGATTTTTAATTTCCTAAGTACATAAAATTAAAACAATTCATGTCCGAAGAAGGATTAAGCTAATTTTTAATCTACGTATTAATTCTACGTTTACAAAACACCACATACAATTTTTCTCGTAGCTTTCTTTTAAAGTGACTGAAATCTATATCCAATTAATAGTAGAAAGTAATTTTCTTCACTCATGTTACGATTTCACGGCATCTATCGTCCGAATGACTCACGTTTCCAATATATATATATATATATATATATCTACTTTCGCGAAAATGATCCTGGTTTTTCTCGTGAAAGTAGCGTTGAAACTTTATGTTTCAATTTCTCCCACTTTTCCCACCTTTCCATATATTTTTTCTTTTTTTTTTTTTTTCAGCTCTTTCATCCGATTGCTTTGCGTCTTATTGATTCTGAATGAGGAGTAAAGGAGGGATTGGGATTAACTTAATTAAACTAACTGATAAAACTTCAGCGACACTCTTAACACATTCGACTACATGTATACTTTGAAGATTCGTCATCGTGAATTTCAAATTTTTTTTTTTCGAGTGACGTTCGAAGCTTTGTTTTATTTGAATGAATTCCACTTGCCGTTTACCACGAATCAATACGCTTGCATAAAGAATATTGTACTCACTGTGTGAGAATTTTTACATATTCAAACATGAGTTTTGAACATCAAAGGGATTGCCAGATAAATAGATACTCGTGGCCTGTTGAAATTGCGTAAAATTCTTCGTAAGGTTGTGTAATGGAAGGATAAAGGTTTAATGCAATGGGATATGAAATATTTTTAATGGATCTTCTCGTCTTCCGGTACATACCGAAGCACTTGTTAACTTCAATATTTTATCAGTGCAAATATTTTAGAAACTTTTATGTGCTTAACGATTAAGTTTAAGTGTCCTGAACGTTTTGGAAAGGGGAAAAAAAATTATAATTGCAAATATCCCTTACAATGGAAATTAAAAACTTTTCTTACATACTGAAACATAAATATTTTCCTTCATTTCTTCCTTGAATCTTTCTAATTCCTTCATTTTTTTTCATTCTTCGACAAACTTCTCAAACTTATGAAAAATGTTGATAAATTCTCACTTGAATTTCTTTTGTGTCATAGATTTCCTTAAGTTATTAAGAATTTCTTTCTTAATTAATTGAATCTAAAAAAACGACATTGAGACGTAAGGATTGAAGGATCGCGGGAGAAAAATAATCACGAAAGAAAAAGTTTCATCTAGGAAGACTTTAACGTGATCGATCATCAACGTTACTCGTACACGTTACTTTGTTCTAAAGTCGCTTGGAGTAAGTACGATGACAGTTTCCGGCAGATTCCAACGATCACACGGAACACAATAATCCATCGTCATTTGAATGACTGCACGTAGCGTTGTTTCGTAGACAATCGATTCGCATTTGCATTGCAAAATAATATCATGTTATTGGAATTAGGTCGGATATCTTACAACGAATTAACTTATGGTACGTGGACATGTGGTACAATGATGGATTTCATTACTTGAAACAGTTCATAATAATAGACTAGACTATAAGAAAAAGTTAAGGTGTCATGGACAGGTAGCTATTACCATTTTACAGTGTCCTTTATTTACTTCGATTCACGTTTTTAGTTTCCTGGGCAGGCAATAGTAGCTGAGTCTGACTCAGACACTAATTTCGAAGCGACGACGTATAGTGTAATCGCATTGTGTAATCGATTTACGAACGCAGCGTGTAAAGAAAGAAAAATGAATTCTACGAGTCCATTGTGTTTTGTAATCGCGTGACGAAACATACGGATTACAGTATGCGTGATTGCGATTGTAAATTAAATAATGATGATTATTCGGATAAAAGTAATTCACTCGCACACCAGAATATTTGATATAGTTTTGGGAAGAATAGAAAGAAGCTTATAAATAAAGATATTTTTCTTCTTGTTGATCGGACAAGTGTATATTTTTCAGAAATATGTTTTGAACATTCATTAAACGCTAACAAAGATTCATAAATAAGGAGTATATAAATTGGCAATTGAATTAGCTTGAATACTTAATTTCGGTTGAAATTCCATTGAATTCTTATCCTTCATAATAATTTTGTAACTTTATAATTTTTTAAAGTAAAACTTTCTTATATGATAAAGAAGGGAGAGGATAACAATATTAATACAATAAATAAATAATAATAAATCTAATAACACATGAAAATTGTCTAAAGTTGAAGTCTCACAGATCAACTCTAAATGGAATGAAATTTTATTATCTCTCATGCTTATTGTTAGTAACGATCAGTATTGCTGATACCGAGCTTAAGACATTCTTGAAACGAATCAGTTTCGTGATTCGACGAACAGAATTCCTCAAATAAGCAACATTCGTTTATCATTCGCGATAAAAGTGAAGCTTTGGTATGCGATTTTTGCAATGTAAAATTATCTGAATTTTTCAAACAATAAACGGCCAGTCAAGGTTGAAATCTAGATTACACTTCAGCTTCCTATTCTAAATTATTCAAATATTTAAGTATTCAGAATTATTCAAATAGTTGTAAATCTAGGTAAATAAATGGAATTATGTAGCGATAGGAAAAAAGAATTACATTTTTTTTAGCTAAAGATAGACAAAGTGAAGCAAATACACGAGAAAAAAAAAACAAGAGGGGCGGAAAAAAGGCAGAATAATTGGAGAAAACTAGAATAGTTGAAGTTGCAAATTTGTTCCAAAATTAAATTGTGGATAAGTTCCTCTTTTCTTTCCTTCAAAAATATCTTAATCTTTGTACGAGTGGTAATTTATTATTACCAGGTTATAAATTTTTATATAATCTCTTGTATATACACGTTACATATTGATAGAAAATTTAATTATTTTTCTTTTCCAGTGAATGTCAAAGGCAATTAAGCCGAGTTCTGGACGACATGGGAGAGGCTTCTGCCAGAGCCCAAGGTCTGAACAAGCCAATAACCAGCACCTTAAAACTTCGAGATACTGACCATGTAGTTTATTTATTAGTAGACAATGAAGCTAATAAGTAAGTACTTCTTTATGCTAAATTTATTATTTTTAGTCTAACTTATGTTAAAGACCTCTGATATCAAAAATTATAGTATGACGATTGGACGATACTCGATAGTAAATATTCTTCAATATTGATTCATCAAATTTTCTCCACAGAAGAACTTTAGAATTCATAGTTCTCTGGAATTGAGAATAAAATTTCTAAAACTATTTCCTAGTCAGATATTTTACATTTCTTTGTTATCAAATTCCTTTGAAGTTCTTCTTCTTCTCCCCTGGAAATTAGAACAGAAATTAAAGTAAAAGCA